TTTAATGGTTTTAATGAGAAACCATTAAAACGATATAGTGGTAAAGAATAGGAGGTAATTCCGGAGTTACTTCTTAATGGAAATGGAAAAGATATGATTGGGATAATTGAAAGAGTAACTGAAGATATCTCCCAAGTTTCTGGTGTTTCTTTTTGGGGACATGTAAAGTTGACCTTCTATTCTTATGTATCCTTTTTTTAAGAAACAAGATATGTAATGTTACAGGGACATTATAATCTGTGTATTACAAGCTATTATTGAGTAGCTTTAAATGTACATTTAATAAGGAAAGCCTAAATCACACCTTTTGTTACTTAGTTTTCTTAAATTGAAATGTTCTTAGCCATGTTTTACAATAGGTGACTATTAAGATGAAATAATGACTAAGAAATACTAAAGAGAGTATGTAATTCATAATTACTGGTTTTTGAATAGAGAAGAGAGGAGTCAAAATATGCATGATCTTTTTTATTACTGCAGTGGTATAGTTCATAATGTTTATATTATTTGTGGGGAATATGAAAAAAATATATAAAATCTTGGTTATTTTAATGTATTTGGTTCTGCAGGGCCTCACTATGCAGCTTGGACCCATAGTTATCTTCCTACTTTCAACCTCCCCCATACTGGGATTGCAGGCCTATGCTACCATGCCTGGACTCTGGCAGGCTCAGCTCTGGGCAGGGTTGTTGTGTCATGTGGTGCGAGGGATCAAACTGGTTCCTGCACTTGCCTAATCAGGCACTTTAGTCTGCTGAGTTATCTCGCTGGCCCGTTGTTTGATTTTTGAGACAGAGCCTTACTATGTAGTTCAGGCTGGCCTTAAACTGACTAAGTAGCACAGCCTGGCTTTGAAGTTGCAACAGTTCTCTTGCCTCAGCCTCCTGAGTGCTGGGATTACAGGCATGTGTCACCACACCCGACTATATATTACATTTTAATTTCTAATGTCATCTTCTTACACCTTCCCAACCTCACCTGTCTCATTCCCCTTTTTTAAAAAAATTTGTGTATGTTTGCAGTACAAGATATGAGAATGCTTGCACAATCATGCTGTTTGTATGCTAATGTACTATTTATAATTTAGGGTTACAAAGATAAATGAGAGTTGGTATTCCTAAGATTTTCAGACACAACATACATAAATATAGCAAGTGATAAGTATGATTATGCAAATTGCCAACGTGATGATAAAAATACAGAATTTCTAGAGGAGGTGATTTTCAGGCTTTTTTTTTTTCCTGTATCCTAATTCCTTACAAAAGAGAGGACTACAAGCACCTAGATTTATAGAATTTTTTTGGTACTTTTTTAGGGAAGGGTCTACAGGGTGATCAAGGTCTCACTACTAAATTGGACTCGTAGTGATACACCTGTTTACAGCCTCCCAAGAGCTAGGATTACAGGTGCATACCACCATGCCCAGTCTCAATTGCTGTTTCAGCATGCCCCGGCCCCAGGGATCCAACCCTCGGTCCCTGTGCCTGTTTGTAGGTGCCTTAATCCCCTGAGCTATTTGGCTGACCCCTTTTTCTCTAATTAATTTCTTGTATATTTTTTCTTTATTCCAATTTTGGGTGTATATACCTAGTAATATGAACAACTAGTTAGAAGACAATGATGCGTTACAACAAACTGAGACTAATTTACATATATTCATTTTAAAGAGAATAAAATTTCAAAACAAGATAATAGGGTACTAGTGGTTAATATGTTGAATATTAATTACTCAGAGTATAAGATACAGGTATTTAATTGTCCAAACAGTATTAGCACAAACCTTTCTTTTTAATGAACTAAGAGAAATTAGTAGTATAGCGCTGTGTGTGTGTGTGTGTGTGTGTGTGTGTGTGTGTGTGTTTATATCTGCACACTGATGTCCATAATGGTTACATCAGTCTACACTTCCACCAACAGTGGAAAGGGTTCCTTTTTCCCCACAGTCTCTTCAGCATTTGTTATTGATTGACTTAATGATAGCCATTCTTTCTGGAGTAAAATGGGATATCAGTGTTCTTTTAATTTGCATCACTTGAATGACCAATAATGCAGAATATTTTTCATATATTTATTTGCCATTTGTATTTCTTTATCTGAGAGGTGTGTATTGATTTCAGATGCTCCTCTTTGAATTGGGTCTTTGAATTTCAAGGAGTGCGGGTGAATTTCTTCACTTCTTTGTGTAAGTCCTTTGTCTGAGGGACAATTGACTAAAAGTTTTTCCAACTCTGTAGTTGTCTTTAGGTGATTTCTTTTGATGTGCAAAAGCTTTTTAATAAGATACTATCTCAGTTATTCTTTGAAGTACTTCTCATGAAGATTGGATTTTGTTCATAAACTCTCTGCCTATTCCTATAATCTTCAGGATTTCTGCCTATTTTTTCTTCCAGTATATATTTTTTATTCCTGTCTTAATATTTAGATCTTTGATCCACTTTCACTTTAGTGCATGGTGATAGACTTGGGTCTGATTTTAATCTTCAGCATATATAGAGTCAGTTTTTCCAGCAGCATTTATTAAAAAGACTGTCTTTTGTTTTTGCTCCGAATGCCTTCAGGGCAGGTTTGGCAGGCTTGAGTCGTGAGGATCGAGCCACAGCAACCTGAGCCCCTGACTGCTTTGTTGAAGCAGCCACTTAAAGAACTTAGCTAAGGGGCAGGCCCCCAAAGAGACTGTCTTTGTTACAGTGAATGTGTTTGTCACCTTTGTAAAAGATAAGATGGCTAAGACTGTATGGAGTTGTTTCTGCATCTTCGTTGTCTTCTTTTTTTTTTAATCATATTAACTTTATAGTATAATTTCAAGTCAAGGATTGTGATACTGTCTCCCTCCCCTTTTTTGCCCAGAATTGCCTTTGTTATTTAGGTCTCTTCTGGTTCTTAGGCATGTTTTCTCTAATTCTGTGAGGTACGCTGTTGGAATTTTGATAGGAATTACATTAAATCTGTGTAACAGTTTTGGAAGTATGGTCATTTTTAGTATATTGGATCTTCCTACTCAAGAGCAAGGGATATCTTTCCATTTTCTGATACCCTTTTCAAGTTCCTTTTTCAGAGTTCTGTAATTTTTAATGTAAAGTTATTTTATATCCTTTGTTAGATAGATTCCTAGGTATTTCCTTTTGCGAGGTAGATACTATTGTGAAAAGTGTTTTTCCTAATTACTTTCAGTGAATTTGTTATTTGTGTATAGGAAGGCTGTTGATTTCTGAGTGTTGACTTTGTATCCAGCAACACTTACTGAATTTTTAGTGGAGTTTTGGAGTTCTCTTATGTAGAATGTAGAAAATTATGTTATCTGCAAATAATGATAATTTAATAATGATGAATAATGGTAATTTCCTCCTTTCCCATCATTATTCTTTTTCTTTCTTTCTCATGTCTAATTGCTCTTTCCAAAGTTTCCAGGACTATGTTGAGTAAGAGTGTACATAGTATATTTTCTGTATTTTATTCTAAATCTTCCCCCGTCTAAAAGAGATGGAAGAACAAAGAAAATTTGAAAACTTAAAATCTGTAACACTCTACCGTGTACTTATTTGTGCTTCTCCTCCCTTTTAGAATCTGAATTTTATATTGTTATTAGTAATCAAATATTAGTAATGACATTTTGTAGCTGTAGTCCTGTTTATGTTGTAATAGTGTTCAACTCTGTGCTGGTGCTTTATGACTGTTGCTGCTTCTTTGCAAGATTGTCAACTATATCTTAGAAAAATGAGCTAAAGAAGAAAAAAAACAAAATCAGTGAATAACCTCCTAAAATAAAAAGTTTTCATGGCAAGGAGAGTTTTTATATTAATGTTTATTTTAGATTATCTGCAAGTTTCAAGAATTGGAGAACAAGACAGCAAAAAGTGGAGATTTGGGGAAATAGTTACATGAATCTGGCATTACCTGTGTTTGAATTATTTTGTTTGTTTGTGGGTTTTTTGGTACTAGAAATGGAACTCATGACCTCGTGCTTGCCAGTCATGCTCTGTGCTGTTCCCAGCTAGTTGGGTTTGAATTGTGAGTGTCCAGTAGCAGATGTTTTGAGGTTTTTCTGTCCTTAGAAATAATGTATGAGATGCATTTAGACATTTCTGTGTTTTTAGACTGGACTGGTATGGATGAAGATGAAGATGCCCATGTCTGGGAAGATAACTGGGATGACGACAATGTCGAGGACGACTTCTCCAACCAGCTACGGTAGGCTGTTTACCAA